GAAACTGCTTGGCATGATTTCTGAAAAAGTAATCCTCTATGGAAACCAACTGACTGATCTTTTGGCAAGTGGCCATTGTTGCTTCAACGGACAATCTGTTCTTAGCAGTCCAGTACTTGACTCACTATGACACCTGGCCATTTCTGCTTCGAATTGTCTAGAACTAACCCCACTCGTTTAAATATCTGAGTCAGCTCACACTGAAGAGTGGTTAAATTTGTTTTACATCTATAATTCCTTTTTCTGAGAAAGAGCATTAAATGAAATGTAAGTCTCTTGTAGCAGTCTAGATTCTAAGGTTAACATATACTTTAAAAAGGGCTTTAAGCACTTCAGTTTTATTTTCAGCAAGCAAGCTTGGGTCATCTGCATGTCACAGGTTGTTAATAAGCCTTCCTCCAATCCTGATGCCACATTCTTCTTCATATGATCCAGCTTCTCTGATGATTTGCTCAGCATACAGATTGCATTTGTATGCTTAGAGGATACCTCTGATGCACACCTTTCTTGATGCTAAGCTATGCAGTATTCCCTTGTTGTGTTCTCACAACGTCTTGATCCATGTACAAGTTCTACATGAGCACAATCAAATGTTCTAGAATTCTCATTATTCTCATGGCTATCTGTGGTTTATTATGATCCACACAGTCAAATGCCTGAGCATAGTCAATAAATCACAAGTGAACATCTTACTGGTATTCTCTGCTTTCAGCCAAGACCCATCTGACATCAGCAATGATATCCTTCTTCCACTGCCTCTTCTAAATCTACACTGAACATCTGACAGCTCCCTGTCAATGTACTGCTGCAACCATTGTTGGCTAATCTTCAGCAAAATTTTGCTTGCATGTGATATTAATGATATTGCTCTATAATTTAAGCATTCTGTTGAGTCACTTTTCTTGTAATGGGTACAAATATTGATCTCTTTCAGTCAGTTGGCCAAATAGCTGTCTTCTAAATGCTCTAGTTCAGACAAATGAGTGTTTCCAGTGCTTTATCAGCTTGTTGAAACATTTCAATTGCTATTCCATCAATTCCTGGAGCACTCTTTTTAGCTAATGCTTTCAATGCACCTTGAACTTCCTCCTTTAGCACCATTAGTTCTGGCTCATATGCTAACACTCGAAATGATTGAATGTCAACTAGCTCTGTTTGGTGCAGCAACTCTCTATTCTGTTCATCTTCTTTTGATGCTTCCTTTGTTGTTCAGTATTTTGTCCATAGACTCTCTCACTATTTCACCTTGAGGTTTGAATTTTTCTTTAGATCTTTCCATTTAAGATCTGATGATCAACATGTTCTCCTTTTTTGGTTTTCTAACTCTAGGCCTGTATATATTTCATAAGAATATTTACCTGAGCTTCTTGAGCTCCCCTCTGAAATGTTCTGCTGGGCTCTGACTTCATACGTTTTTCCATGGGCACTAGCTATTCTATGACTAAATGTTTCAGAGTTTCTTCTGACATTTACTTTGATGTTTTCTTTCTTTCCTGTCTTTAAATCTTTGGTCTTCTTTTTGTATAATGTTTCTGGTGTCATCTCACAGCTTATGAGGTCCTCTGTCATTAGTGTTCACGCGTCAGAATTGTTCTTGAACTTCAGCTTAGTAGATTTAAGATTGTACATTTTGGTGTGCACACAGGTCGTATTGGTACACACACAGGTTGGTACATACACATAATGAAATACTATGCCTTGCTAAATAATGATGAAATCATGAAGCACCTCTTGACATGGATGGACCTGAAGAACATGATGCTGGGTGAAATGCAAAACTCCGTGAGTCAATTCCAACTCATATTAACCATTTAGGGCAGAGTGGAACTGCCCCCTATGGGTTTCTGAGGCTGTCCATCTTTATGGGAACAGAAAGCCTCATCTTTCTTCCTGGGCGGTGCTGGTGATTTTGAACTGCTGACTTTGTGGTTAGAAGTCCAACGCATAACCGATGACACCACCACAGCTCCTGAGTGAGGTTAGTCGATCACAAAAGAACAAATATGTTATGAGAAAACTACTATAAAAATAAAAAAACAAGACAAAGACTGTTATATCAAAGGGAAAAGACTTTAGAGATTCTCAAAGGAGGGAGGGCATGGGTAGGAAAATGAGTGTCATACCTTTCCCCATCAGAGCAACACATAAG